TCAGGGCATGGCTAACTCACAGATTGAACCCTGAAACAACCTCTGGGCTGATCTAAATCAGGGCATGGCTAACTCACAGATTGAACCCTGAAACAACCTCTGGGCTGATCTAAGTCAGGGCAAGGCTAACTCACAGATCAAACCCTGAAACAACCTCTGGGCTGATCTAAATCAGGGCATGGCTAACTCACAGATTGAACCCTGAAACAACCTCTGGTCTGATCTAAGTCAGGGCATGGCTAACTAACAGATTGAACACTGAAACAACCTCTGGGCTGATCTAAGTCAGGGCAAGGCTAACTCACAGATCAAACCCTGAAACAACCTCTGGGCTGAACTAAATCAGGGCATGGCTAACTCACAGTTAGAACCCTGAAACAACCTCTGGGCTGATCTAAGTCAGGGCATGGCTAACTCACAGATCGAACCCTGAATCAACCTCTGGGCTGATCTAAGTCAGGGCACGGCTAACTCACAGATTGAATTGAAACTTAGCGTGTTAGCTTTTGAGTGCGAAACCAGAGAACGAAATAAGATTTAAAAAATCCTCGAATCAAGGGAGAGACCTAAAAATCTCTACTCACATATGATGCCGAGTCCAGAAATCGCAGTGTACTGGCAAGTGTACTAGAGGAATTTACCCGAATTTTTCAATCTATTTTGCGTACGCAAACCAATGCAGGTCGCGATACTCATCGTGCTATATGTCACATACCTGCATCGTGGTTAGGTTCAGTCGTATTGCCAATTCTTGTATAATCTCTTCCATTGCTAAGACTATTCTCTCTTCTCTGAGGCCAGCACTGGTTGGGCTGCTTTTAATCTTTTTCTTTGCATGCTCTGAAAAAAAGTCCGATAACTGACCTTGTGGAACTCCACAGTTGTGGCTTTCAAATAGAAAAATGCTTGTTGGACTATAAAATATGCTTGAAATAGAGAAAGAAAAAAAGAAGCGAAGAGGTCCCAGAATCAATCTCTGTGGCAAACCAACAGTCTAGAATACATAGATATAAAGAAACGAGTGCAGGTAAAAAGTTTATTCTTATACCTTCATCCTCGATGAGTAGGTTTCTGTGCAACATCTAAAAGTATCAAGAAATCATTAGGGATTATTAAAGCTAAGTAATAATTTCACTGCCAGTTCCGTTTTTGAGCAACAGATATAATGGTTTCAAGATTAGCATTAGGAATTATTAGAGATATTTGGACAATCATGTCTTTAATAATTGCCTTGGTTATCCAAGTTTGGTTACAGTGCGACTACTAGCGGTATCAAGATATCATTAGGGATTATTAGAGCTATGTAATACTGACCTTATCTACTAGTTCTTTGATTCCAGACCTAATTTGCACGTACTCACGGACCATGGTCTTTTTCATGACGTAATGCACAGCCTTGTCAATCAAGACATCGAGAGCTGGCGGGGAAGGCATAGACATTCTCTGCACGACAGCGACGGCTGATTTCTTAATTAGGTGATATTTTTGATCGTCCTGTATTAGAGAATGTAAAACAATGTTTTCCCATCTTAGACCATTTCAGACCACGTGTCATTCCCTTGATTATTATTTCTTTCTTTAATAGAAATGCTTTTAAGGTATAGTCTAATGTTATTCCATTTCAGACCAAATATCATTCTAAAGAATATCAATTATTTGTTTAACGGTTGCGCAAGAGAAGACACATAAATATGGATGCAACTCAAACAAAGAATCTTATTCTCGCACGTGACATTACGCCCATTACGAGGTCTAATCCTCTTACCTTTGAGTGGCCATCATCGTGCTGCTTCGCGATTGTCATTTTCTCTCTCTCTAACTCATCCACTAGAAAAAAATTGATCGAAAAGGATAAAATGAAAGTACGTGAAAGATGTTTTTAAAAAGGAATTTAACCTTATCAATACTATCGTGATGAATTTAACTAAATCTTTCAAGGTCTCTCAAAGAAAATATCTCAATGATAAAATGAATGTAATGGATAAATCGATGTCCCTGAAACAAATATCTGTCGCTATCATTATGCTGGTCGTTATTGCGATCCAGACATTTCTACCGATGCGACGTGCTGTTCGTCTTCCGTTGAACAAAATATTTACGGTCGTCTGACTAGCGACTGACCAGCCTTTCATACATGAGAAAAGGCTTTTATGTTTTCACGTGAACACGAGGAAAGTCAGTCGCTAGTCAGTGAAGAACAATAGTTATTCAAATTGGTCGCCATGGTTCGATTCGGTGCATCAAACCCACACGTCTCGTAGTTGCCGATATAAACAGAAAATAAATAGCCTTGATAGTAAATGATGAACTCACTTAGCTCCTTGTCATGTAACACGTCACCTTGGTGCGAACCCTGGGTGCTGAGGTAGTCGATCTGGAAGAGAAACGGAGCATGCAATCAAATCAATCCTACGGGCCAACAGCGACCGACCAACCGACCAAATGCAACAAATTAACTAACTTTAAGCAAATTAAATCGAATCAAATCAAATCAAACTAACCAACCAACCAACCAACCAAACTAACCGACCAGTTTAAACCTTGTTTTAAGGCGGATCGTCAAAATCTTCAGATATCGCTGCATAGATACGTACATTAACTTTTCGTAAAAGATAAGAGAAAGCTCAATCACCTATACTTGGAAAAAGTCTGTTCGTGATTTAGAAAGAAAAACAACCCCATGTCTTAAAAAAATACTACATTCTTATAAAGTTGTCACAAAGAATATTTTTTATATAGATGGAATGGATTTTTGGAGGCGTAAAAAAGAACGAACTCAAAACACAGGTTAAAAAAAGTTGTTTTGAATTTGAGAGAAAACGTTATCAAGATTTTCACTGAGATTTGAGACATAGCTTCACCCTGACCCTTGAGTGCTCAAAGACGATTTTGAAAGAGGTGTCTTGCCTTTTTTCAAAATACCTCTGTTTTTATCTCGAATTGTTCTGTATGGTGGAGGAAGAGTTATGGGCTCTCAACTGAAAAAGCTCCAATCTGAATCGTTTCAAGGAAAACCGGCCGTGCGTCCACTATAGTGCTTGGACTCAGTGGACATCGTTATAATGATCATCATGCATCGTACATCATCATCATCACCACCATCAGTATCATCATCATCAGCATTTGCGACGATAGCCATTATCATCACTATTTGCTATATTATATACATTATAACTACCACCATCAAATCATATCACAACTATTGATCTTCGTCGACATCATTGTACCGTCCCTACCCTTGTCCAAAATCAGTAATGTTACACATATCATTTGGATAGACTTCCCATATTCCCCCTCCCCATAAAATCCCTCTGAGTTCTCTATAACATGACCTATATAGCATAGTTTTATAAATATTTATAAACTCATACATTGATTATTGTCTAAGGAGGGGAATTTCCCCGCTCAAGGGAAGATTAGCTCAAAACAGAAGCGGTTAGGAGATAAATATTCCAGATAATCATTATATCATTAGTCAAAATAAATAATGTTTGAATGACCTTGAACTATACGTCAGTGATAACAAAACAACTTAATAAATAACTTTCATTGAGATCTCTTAGCTTAGAGCAACTTTTTTTAAGTTGGTTTAAGAAAAATATAATTTAGCATCTCTATTTCAAGACAATTTATAGAACTATGAATGAAAGTATATATTTAATGCAGGGTTGTAATAACAAAAAAAATTTTTGTCGAAACATTTCAAATGTTGATACAGCCCAAAGAACTTTCAGTCGTTTGAACTGTTTGTATTTAGCTAGCAAGAAAACCGAATTTGGCATGGAAAAACAAGTCAAGGAGTGATAGTTCACTGAGTAATTTATCTAAAGTTAGTTTTCAAAGGATTTCTCACTGAATTTTTAGTATTTCTTATGGAATAATAAAACACTTACAAATCTCTGCTCGTCATTGTCAACGTAACTGTTCGGTGCTGAAACATAGAACAAACATTTATAAAACGAATGGTTCAAGAATAAACGAGTTAAGCTTTATAAGAGGTTTATAAATGTTACCTGAAAGGACGAACGTTAAACAGAGTAGTAGAGAAAGTATCTGTAAGCCTTTCATCTTGTCTTATCGGTCAGAACTGAGAGAACTGACTTTATACAAAAGTCAACGAGTTCGAGGGTCGGAAATGGTAACTTGATGCCTAAGGATGTCTACAACGGAAATAAATGAATTCGAGGGAAATAAGCTATGAATAATATAAAAGCAAAACAGAAAAATAACATTTTTGAAAGTGGTTTTTTTTGGATTATTTTTTTTAGTTAAGCCAAATGTTTCTGTGTTGTGGAATGCATTTAAGATTGAAAATTGTTAACGAAAAAATAAACTCCGGTTTTCTAGGCCGGAATGACTGTTGACAAGTTTTATTTTTTATGCTCTCGTTATGGAAAAAAAGTGAGTCAAACAAATTTATTTAGAAAAGAAAAGGAAAGGAAAGGAAAGGAAAGGAAAGGAAAGGAAAGGAAAGGAAANGTTTTGTATCTATATAGATATATACGACATATAGATTATCTCTTCATATATCCTACAATAAAAATATATCTATTTATAATAATAATACTAAAAATAATTTACGTACACATATAAAAAACAAATCGATAAAGCTTTTTATTTCATAGGATTTATAAAATAAATATGAAAACGAAATAGAAAGCATGTAGAATGGAAAGAGAGAAAAAAGGGAAAATGGATTTTTTTACTGATGTGAATGTGTGATATTCCCGAGGTACCTAATTTTTCTAATTTAAATTTAGGTGGACCTTTTAATGATCAATAAAATCAAGGGGTAAACAACTCATGACGATTCCATGATAACATAGTAGAAATATTTATGTGTTTATTCTTTTTGAGTTAAGTACATTAATACGATTGGCTTCTGGTTCAGAGAATATGCTAACACACACACACACATGTATAGAGAGGATTAAGTTTCTAAATTTTTAACACAGCTAAAGGATAGATACTTTGTATGTTGGATGAAAAGGAAAGGAAAGGAAGAGAAGAGAAGAGAAGAGAAGAGAAGAGAAGAGAAGAGAAAACGCAATTTCATTGGGCTTCCTGTGTTCATAATCCCCTACCGGAAGTCAATATCTCTAGCTCCCAGGTCCCTTGCAGGTTTTATTTCCGGGTCTTGGTTTCGTGAGTAAAGGTTTGTTCTCGATCTCTTAATGTTGTGGTTAAAGATCCTCTTCAAAATCTCTCCAAAATGACTCGATTTGTCGATTGTTTTTGGGTAAGTTGTATCGCTAAGCTCTCACAGTCACTCTTGTACGTCTATCTCTATTTTATAAATTTAGAATTGCAACGCAGTCGAGAAGATCTTGACACTTAAAGCTGAAGCTTTCTGACACAATTGTAATTGTCTCGGAATTCAGCTTTTACATCTTTATTGCTAGTGTTTTATTGTTTTGTCAAACAAATGATTAATTCCAACGGCTAGAGTTTAGAAATTTGATTCAAAAAGTTTGGTTTAAATTCGTAAATTTCTAGCGGAATGTAAACAAAAATACCAAGCAAATTCCTCAAAATTGTTGACCTGAACAACGATTCCTTTACTGTAATTCAACTTTGCTACTATTCTCGTTTTTCCTTTTAAGAAAGATAGAAACATTTCTTGAAAATAGGCTATTATAAGACATTATTTCTTTACCTTTTTTTTAAAAAATACTTATTTCATATATAAAAAGAACTTCCTTATTCATTTGAATTTTATTAAATCAATCATTAATTTATTAATATTGTATAGTTTACATGTAAATTACTTGCTAAATTAATAGTCATGATTGATGAAATTGATGATCTAATTTATAAAATGCTGGCCTCTAATTGGTTATTTCGATGAGCTTATTTTATCCTTTTTTCAAAACTTGGTCAGTCTGTGCGAGCTTGATGTTTCAGTATGGTTTTGACTGGTCTCAATTTATGTTTGATACCAGGATATAAAGAACTGTGCAATGCTTTGCTTGGGGCATAGTGCTGCGTCCCTTCCTTATTTAGAATGGTTTTTCCCCCCCTCTCTCCCCCATGAAGGGAGAGCGATAGAGGAAAAACCCCTAAAAAGATCTTAAAGAAAGGCTTTTAAGGACATAGGCACCTTGCAAATACAGCTTAACGTGGAGACTATACTTTGATTCTCCAGAAATGTTCTCTTCAATATCCAACTTATTAAATTCCAGTGCAGTCTATGTCATGATTTACATCAGCCCTGAGGTTATTTCAGGGTTCAATCTGTGAGTTAGCCATGCCCTGACTTAGAACATCCCCCAGGTTGTTTCAGGGTTCAATCTGTGAGTTATAGTCATGCCCTGACTCAGATCAACCCAGAGGTTTTTTAATGGTGCATTAGATGTACCCTGACAAGATCAGCCTGGAGGATCTTTCAGGGTTACAATCAAATCACTGATAAATATTCAGCATTTAGTGAGTAAACCCTGTTTAAAATATCTGTGAGTTTAGGGCATTTCACAGGTTTTTCAAAGGAATTTCACAGGTTTTCACCCACTTTTATATCCCAACAGCTCTGCGTAAATTCAGTAAACAAGTTGGGTATATAGCTATAGATTCCATCTGCACCTAGAGCATTATAGACATATTAAATAATGATGCTAATTGATTACCATTAGGAATTACGATAGATTTGCTTACACATAGTTTCGCCTACTGAATTTTGCCTACGTATGAGTTTAGCCTACTGAAGTTTGCCTACGTATCAAATGCTTTGTAAAACCTTAGAACTGTTATTGCAATAAAGAATTGTAGATGGGCTCATTGGGGTCATACTGAAAGTGATATTTTACTAGTTTCTGTGTAGGTAGGGGGGTTTTTGTTTCCAATCTACCTGAGAAAATGAAACTGTCTTGACCACACCAACTCCGCTTTCATTAATAACTAAATGTTTCTAAGAATAACCTGAAATCAATTTTAGAAATATTTGATGTTTCGCATTGTTGTAGTTTGAATAATTTGTTTCATACGTGTGGCTTAGCTTGTATTATACAGATATTTTTTTATGAAGCGTGTCTTGCAATGCTTTAATACTTAATTAGTGTACATACAGTTATGACATGAGTGCCTTGTTGTATCAGATTTACTACATGAGCTGGAAGCGAGCGATATTGTAAATCTGATACAACATGAACACGAATGTTGTAAGAGCTAGTACTTAATTATTCAATGTTCATTGTTGCTATGCCTCATGTTACTAACCTTGCTTCGATACATTTCTTAGTAAATTTCAATTGAGTGTTTAATGGTTGTATCTTGATCAATGCAGAGCTTTCAATAAAACAACGGCTATCAGCAGTTAATCACCGGATACTTCACCTTAAACTGCAGGCTATTTTGACAAAAAAATAATTCTTTGCCAAATATGAAATTATATAAATTGGATTCAGCCCCCTATTTTTTAGGACTAACTGCCTACTACAAATATTATTGAGAGCTCTGCAATGATATTGACCCAATTAACAATTAATTACTATGTGGGTCTTGTGTTGATTATCACAAACCCAGCCCCTTACAATATGAAAGCCGGCAATGGTGCTCTTATAAGATATCTGTCATAAGATAGCCAGATCTACAAAAAAGAAAGGAAGCCATTCCAATTTAAAATTCTTATCTTTTTACCAGGGTTCTGATTTCACTAGTACTGCTGGATTTGACAATCTCTGTAAACGATTGAGGGATGGCAAACAGAGCTGTCAGGACTTTGAAGAATTCGTACGACAAAGGTAACACTATGACACAAGTAATGTTAAAGTCAAAATATGAGCGAACCTTTTGTAACAGCTGTAAAAAAAAAAATAAATAAATAAAAAAAATAATAAAAAAATCAAAGGAAAAAAAACAAAAACAGCTGTACAATCACTAGCCAGATGCGAGTGATTGTATGGCCGATACAACGTGGAAGCACATTTTGTAAACAGTTTGTGAAATTCCGTGAATGATTCATAAATGCTTTGGGACATTTTGAATTCATATGCAAATTAGATACAACCACCAGTGCTGTATCAGAACAGTATATGTATCCACTAGTGGTTATATCTAATTAGCATTTTCATTGTAAGGTTTTGTAAGGTAATTTTAGAACCAGTGCAAAAATGAAAGCAATATCAAAATCTTAACATGTGGCAAATGAGATTATCACATGTTACCTACCACTCTTTTTATTGCTATGAGCTGATCAAGACAACAGCCTGGGGGGGACTCCAGGAAAAAAGTACCGGGGATGCTCATCAGAAATTTTCAAAAAGACTCCTAAGAGTTATCGGAAGTCTTTAAAAAAGGGCGTGGCTGAGTGATTTTTAACCCCTAAGAGATACCACAACAAATAATATTAAATTTAAAATAAGAAGCACCTAGGATAAGCCATATCGATGCGCGCTTCTCTCCTTTAATTTTCCGACTACCCTAGCTAAGAGATACCAGAAAATGCTGTTTTTCAAAAATTTGTATTTAACACCCTAAAAGATACCAAATCGCGAATTTTTACCCCTCAGAGATACGATGAGCATCCCCGGTACTTTTTTCCCGGAGTCCCCCCCCCAACCCTCGGGGACAACAGTCACGACAAGGAAATTGGGCAATACTCTTCCATCAATCAAATAAATTGGCCAGTAACTTTATATTCTCTGAATGGTTGCAGTGTATTGCCCTATTTCCCTGTTGCGACTGTTGTCTCGATCAGCTCGTAGCAGTGAAAAAGAGTGGTAAGAGCTTGATATCATTTTTATTCCCAAGTTTCCATATAACAGGGTTCGTGCTACTCCTTAAACTCCTTGAAAACTCCTTGAATTTAATCCATGCTTTCAAGGGCACTTGAAAAGCTCTAAGCTTGAATTTTATAATTTTAGCGAAACTCCTTGAAAACTCCTTGAACGTTTGCTTTGATCATTACTTGCATGGTTCTGAAATAGATCCAGTCAGAAAGATTGGAAAATCTGAAAGTCAGCCATGTGCAACCACCGTGTAAAACCTTGGCATATTTAGCTGAACATACTCCTTGAAAATTCATTTTTGGGTCCTTGTATACTTCTTGAATAGTCCTTGAATTTTAAGTGGTTACCTCAGCACCAACCCTGATATCACATCGCAAACAAGCAAGTCATTGTGAAGTGATATCGAATCATTTCACTGATATGGTTTTTATTCATAGATTTTACCACATTCAATATCAAACCTATGTGTGCAATAAAATATGTCAGTATATATTTGATTGTCATTCTTTCCCCCATGGTTTCCAGTTTACCATGAGGTGATATCGTATCACTTCACTAATATGGTCTTTATTTCCAGTCTTATCTCAGCTAGATTGGAAAGTAAAAACTCCCCTAACTATACAGAAACTAGTAAAATATCACTTTGATATCAAACCTATAACTGTGTAAAAAAAATTTCTCTCAATGATATGATCAGGGCTGATATAGAGGAAAAATATGGTAAAAGTTTGACGAGACTGGCAAAGTCTAACGAGGCAAAGGAAGAAATTGGGTAATTATAATAATAACAATAATTATTATTAAAATAATTTCTAAAGTGCAAAAATCTATATACATATTCAATTGCGCTATATAGCTACTCACAAAATGTATACACCTAATTGAAAAAACGTCGGGTTCAAAAAAAGGTTATATCATCAAAGCTAAGACCGAAGGGGAGCTTGGGAAGACAAACAATTATGCTAATTTCATGTGTATTGCAGTTTTCCCTTCCTGTGCACATTTTATGCATCAGGACTTTGGCATGTTGTTAATCTAGGTCAACCGACTTTGCTCTACTGTGCATTTTTACATGTCTATATGCAAATATAATACACATTTCGGAGTACCCAAAATCCTTTTCGGTAAAAAAAAACTACGTTTTTTCAATTAGGTGTATGCAATAATAATAATAATGATAATAAAAGGGAAAACTACTGAAAAAATGAAAGGAAAATTAATTTTAATGATGACTAATGCAAGAAGCCCTAATAAATAAATGTGTCTTAAGTTTCTTCTTAAATCAAACAATAGAAAGGTCAGTATTCCTGAGGTCTAAAGAAAGTACATTCCAAAGCTTGGACGTGGCCAATTTAATTTTAGGATGGCTTAACAGTGTGCCATTGCTATTCCTCCTAAGGTTATACGTAGACTGAGGCAAAACTAAGATACTGTAAGCTCAGCCAGGTGGAATGGAGCAAGCCCTCTTAGAACTTTAAAAGATATTAAAATTAATTGAAATTTGACACAGATATATTTATATAAGGATATTTGAGAATAATTGACAAATTTAATTCCCAATCATTCCCAGCTATTCTCATTCATTCTCATTTGTTCCTATCATTCATTCTCATATGAGCCTTGCTTAGCCATAATTCTTTCCCATTAATTCAGGGTGCACAGTGTACACGTAGTGAGGTGCTTTGGAAGCTATTGAAATATATTTTTTCCCTCATAAATTGCAGATCTCTCAAAGATTCCTGGGATTGCTTGAGGAATGGTGAGCATGAATGAAATGTTATTACAGGATATTGATATCCCATAAATCCTTCCATCTGTACCTGTTCACTTTATTCATTTGTTTATGCATCCACTCCAGCCATCTATTTATCCTTAGCCATCTGCCCGCTCACCCACCTGCCCACTCCGCTATCCACCCATGCTCCTATTCACCCATCCACTCATCCACCCATCCATCCCACCCATTCACCCACCAATGCACCCATGCACCCACCCATTCACCCATGCACCCACCCATGCACCCATGTACCCATCCATCCATCCACCCCACCCATTGACCCACCCATGCACCCATGCACCCACCCATTCACCCGTGCACCCACCCA